CCCCGCCCCCGGCCCCGCACCAGTAGCTACCCCGGTCCCAGGAGTGGTGGGTGTGGCCCCGGGCGGGGTCCGGGGTGGGGCATAAAACCCCATTTTTGGGGTTTAGCCCATGTGGTGCGCGCTCTCGCTGCGCACCCCCCACTATTTTTTTATTTTTTTTTGAATTTTTTTTTGGGGGGGGGGTCTAGAGCCGGGGCTGGGGGTGCCCACCCCGGACCCCCGGATCCCCGCCGGGGCCCCGGGGCCGGGGCTTGACAACCCTGGCTGCAACTGCTCGTGGGGATACTAAGTCCCCTTTCTTCTCGTCGCGCCACATGGCGCCTTACTTTTTTTTTTTTTTCTCTAAATGTCGTTGGCTTATGCCAACGGCCACATCACTGGTCACATCGTGGGATACCCACAATCTGTTTGAATACAGACCAGAGTTCGAATCCCTGTTGGGGATAAAAAAATTATTGGACCGTTTCTCGATTTATGCGTGTTATTTTTTCGCAGGCCATGCTGTTCTCCGCGCGGCTCATCTTGGCCGCGAGATTTTCAAGATTGGGCGGTCGAAATCGACCACACTGCTTCAGAAAGGGTAGCTCCAAAAGGAGCTGGCCCAGTAGGATGCGTGCAGCCGGGCTTGATCCCGGTATCTGCTGGGCGAAAGTCTGACATCGTAACCTACTAAGTTAACTCCTATCATGATAGTGATAGGAGCCACTGTTCTATAAGAAGAGCTTCGCCGCAGCCATTCTCCCTGCCTGTGGCCTTGAAGGCCCTGCCTGCTTGAGGCTTTTCCGTGGATGGCTGCCCATCCATGGCTTGGGGTCACCCAGCGGGTAGGCCTTGGCATCAGCCTGCTCGCCCCCTTTGGCTCGGGGTCAATCCCCGCGGCCCAGGAAATAAGAAAACTTCATATTCTTTCCGCGTTGCGGCCCCACCCCAGGCGAGACCGTTCTTTTTAGCCTGCCTAGGCCCTGAATCGCGGGGTTGCTATAGGTTTAACTTTAACGCTCCCATGTCCGCGCACTTCTACAATTTCGACAAAAGCGAAGCATTACCAATTACAATCATTACTCTCGAACGCCACAAGCGTCTAGATTGAAATTCAAAACTTTTAGTCTATCTGTCATAGGTCAGGTCTGAATAAACTTCTGGCAAACGTCAGCCTCATCAAGTCCTTCAAAAAAATTGAACAGTATCCGACATTCAAAAACCCTGACAAATACCCTTGTCAGGGTTTTTGCCCCGACAACGGCCTCATCAGGGGGAGTTCGAGATACTTGGTGACGTTTTATTTGTTCTATAAGTACTACTCGTCGCTCCTTGTCGTACTTTGTCCTACCCAATTTTCGTATCGTGCCCTGTCTGTCCTTTATTTTTCATAAGTCTCGATGTTTACTGTATCATTCCTCATTAATTATCTCGGTTCATAAACCAGTGCCCGTCTCGAAACTCACGACCTGGTGTAGTCAAAGGTAAGAAATTTGTAGTTCAGTATACTGGCCTCGTAACTTCTCAAAGCGTCAACTTCAAAAATATAATAGCGGGCTACTACTGCGACCCGCACGTTTTCCAGGTCGGGTAGTACCCGTCCTACTTAACACTAATCCTGAGGGTAAAAGCAAATACCCTAGTCTCCGTAAATTTCCCACCCATGACCCTTATACCATTTTTTTACCCTGGCACTTCCCAATTCATATGTCATAACCCCACTCCCACCTCGAATTTCACCAGCTGCACAATCTTAGATCCTACTTCTGCCAAGAGGGGGATCGCTCCTTAATGAACTTCCTCAAACAGTCATTGAACATTTTCCCCGGGTAATCCTGCAAGCGCAGTTGTTGTTTAAGCGTTAACAAACCCAATCCAACCATGTCATCCGAAGAGGACATCTGTCGAATCCTATACAGGGCACTCATGATGACAACCTTCTTTTGACGGGCTGCTGAGTATGACTCAAAATCCTCCATCGTGCGGAAGGCAAATTTCCCTTCAGCCTCCCCTCGTCGGTCCTTTTTAACATCAGTCGATTATCATAGGTCTTGTCAAGCAGTCTCATTATCCTCTCTTTTCGTACGTTGCCATTCTTCATCGGGCATCAGATGAAGATAGTCACGTCATCGATTAGCCTAGGTCCCCTTACCAGATTCCTATCTGCTCCTAGGCTTCTTAGAAAAAAATATTCATTCATGGCATAAAGAATACAAACCAATGGGGGGCTACTGCTTTTCCCCATTGGGATCCCCACTTGTTGCTTGATCAGTCTCCCGACTGCAACCACAAACGTATGTTCCTGTTTGAAACTTACCATCGCCATGATCATTTCAAAACTCACTCTCATCCACCCATCCACCCGAGTTTTTTTCTGCAAAGGAATAGCCTTCCCCCTTTTTCTTATCATAACCATCTTTCTTCCCGTCGCTCGATACCAGTCTAGAATCCACTTGACGGCGGTGGAGATCGAGTCATGGGGCAGCTAATTGAACATCTCTTTAATATCGTAAGCTGCCCCAACCAAATCTCCTCTCCCTTTCCCTTAAACCAATTTATTAACTTCCTCCACCCTATCCTCAAGAAACCCCGTAGATTTGAGGTTAAGGTGCACTGATTTAGGCAACAGAAAGAGCAAGTGATTCAAAGCTCGAGCTACTCTGCTACTAGCCAACTTAAAAGGTTCAGGGTATGATGGGCTAATAGGTAGGAAGCGGCTTATATTCTTAAATTTCGCGATAATATAAGCGCGTCGCATCGTCTTTTATTGTCCCACCTACCCAATTGTTCCACACCTGCCTTCTTATACGCCTGTTTGCTCTTTTCCAACACGTCCGCCTCAGTTTCCCATACCGCCTCAAAACTCTCATTCTTCCAAAACATCGATTCATACCCTTAGCATACACGTCCGGACACATGACGACTGTCTCTGCATTGTTTCTATCCACGTACATACCAGATCCTTCGTCACGACATTGATTTCCTCCAACTCCCTAAAATAATCCTTCCTTTTCTTACCTAAATCCTCTTGTACACAACTTCCTATTTCCCTAATGTTAACAATCGCATCAATCCCCATTTTCACGAGGCTATCATTCACTTCCCTCATTAGTCTCCCTTCCCTCCTTTGGCCGTTTTCACATAAAATATTTTGTGCATTCTTTACAGAGTTGCCCTTCACATTCAAATCACTTAGCTTACAATGCACATGACCTTCCAATCTTGGGAAGCTACTATCTGGACAAGTGCAAATACCAACCGATTGTTGAGACACAACTTGATGGTTACGGTGAGATTGACGAACACAGTGGTTTTTCCACCATGTTCCCAATAACCTCTGGCATGTGAAAAAAGCTAATAACACAGGACATTTAGCTCGATTTTTTTCACAGACCAGATCTTGAATTGCATGCAATGACACCTCACGATCATAGGTCATACTGGCACAAAAGTGTTTCCTCAAATTTATTCCAAATCACATCCGTAAGCATGTCTCTGAGGGTCGATCGAGTCTCGGCTCGTGAAAAACATTTTATAGCCGAGGTGAGTTGCCTTTGTTTATCCAAGTCTAGTTCATACAACTACTTCTTACTCCAAGGATTTTGAATAACCTGATGCAACTTCCTCTTCAAATCTGCCCTCTTCTTAGATAGCGCTTTCCGTTGTAATTTTACCAGCTCAAAAACATATCCCTCTTCAAACTTTGTTTTGAAGTTGTGTAACAGTCCCACTTCCTCCCTGAGCTTTATCATACTTAATCCTATCTCACGATGTATGATCCCCCATCCCTGTCCATAAATCCTCCCTCCTTCTGTTCTGAACTTCCTCCCTTCCGTCCAAGCTTTCGTACATATATCTACTAAGCTCACACACCACAATTTTTAAGCACTCAAATACAATTGGACGTTCACTCCTGGTCCTAGCGGTTCATCCCACCTTCCTCTCCTTCCTTTACTTCGTTATCTTGCCTCGTCGTTTCTCACCCCCTTAGCGTTCAAAGCTTGTGACCATTTACGGATGAAGACTTTCTCCACTTTCTCCAAATCGTCAACAGGAACGAAAGCAATTGGTAATGCTATGTAATTCGAATGTCCCCAATGTCTGAACCAAGAGTACAAACGTGAATTCCTAGTCCCATCCCTATGATTAGTCCTATAAGCATGTTCCTCTCATCTTGTCATCAAACTATGACTTGTCTGTCCGATGTAAATTATCCTCGTGCCTGGATCAATTAACGTATACACACATCCTTCCGCTTTTTCCCAAATCTCAACATCGGCATCGATCAGATCAAGCCAATTCCCCAAGAACTTATTACTTCATTGGATTTCCCCGTGAAAAACTAACAAAACTATAAGGTATCTGAGTACTAGCTCCGTTAACTCACGCAACTTTCGAACTCCTATAGCGAAGTCAGATATAAATACTTGACGTAAGTCCAGTTACTTACCTAGATCTCACCATAAATCACTGGTCAAGTGGGTTGCTACTCCCAACTACGTTCTCGCCTGCTGGCGGATCCCTCGCTTGTTCGCATGGTGCCTCACGAGTGACCACACCTATTTCACGAAAGACAACTCCACCCCTAGGCCCGGGTGGTGTTACCTGCGGAGCTTGGGCGCTAAAATTCCTGACGTGCAGTTCAATCAGTTCATCAACCACCTCGTGTCTACCTCTATAAACGATGCCTGCTTCGCGACACATTGCTTTGATCATTGATTTCAGTTTCTTCCCCAGAAACCTTCTAATCACCTTTCTGAAAGTCGTGACAGTATTGTAGTCATCAGTCGTAGGTGCTCCTTCCCACAGGCTCGATTCCCTCAGCGGAAAACCGATTCCATCAGTCGTTTTGGTTTTGTGTCGTGGTACTCTCAGCCTCAGAGATTCCTCTTTGCCGGCAGCCCTTGATGTAGGCGTAGTCCCTCTTCCAACTTTCGATGGAGTCTCCGCTTGGGGGCTAACCTTACACGCTTGGCCAGGCTGTCTTTTCGGTTTCTCTAATCTTTCCTATAGTTCCTCCTCCTCCTCTTCAGAGTCCGACTCAACAACCTTCGCCTTACCTTTCACGGCTCTTTCTATCATTACCATCTTCCTCAGTCTTGCTTCAAACATGCGTTCGAATGCTTCCTTCAGAGACTCCTTCTGCTTAGCTAATAAGTGCTTTAACCTCGATTCTCTACCAACTTCCTTCTCCTCCCTTGCTTTCTTCTTCAAGATCCCCAACCGATTCCTCTCTTCTATTGCCGATCTTTCCTCGTCCTCACGCTTTTTCCTCTCATCTGCCGTTTTTTTCTCGACTTTTTTTTTCTCCTCTAACTCCAACTGCTTGCTCGTATACTTACACATCATTCGAATTCCCTCCTCAAGTTCTTTACTAATATCGGTCGCCACTGCTGGCTCATTTGAACCACTCGACGTGCTGGCCTCATGATTCTGATCCACCACCTTGATTGTTATTCCTGTGATTGAAGTTTCCCTGATTGTAGCTCGGTCCTTGCTTGTTACCTTGACGGGGAGCATTACACTCCCTGCTGATATGGTCATACTAGTTGCAGTTATAGCACTGCGCCGATCGTTTCCAGTCTCGGCTGCCACTCCCTTGATTCCCTTCGTTGCCGCTGTTGTCGTTCCATCTATTACCATTGTTTTCGTTTCATCCATTGCCCCCGTTGGTGCTCCATCCATTGTTGTTGCCGTTCCAGCTACGATTTCCTCCGTTATTGTCGTTCCACCCGTCATTATTCCCTCCGCTGCCTCCATTCCCGTTCCAACCTCCACTTCCTCCATTGCTGTTCGGAGCACCGTTGTTCCAATTACCTCCGTTACCGTCATTGTTAATGCCTTTGTTTTCACCATTCCCAGGTCCATTCCACTTTCCTCTCCCGATCCCGTTGGGACCCATCCTCCAAGCCTTGATGGCGTCCGACCCTTCCGGCGAGAAGTAAGACCACGCCTACTTCTAAGAATTTGTCTCCTACGATCTCAACTACAAGGCCACCAAAGTCTTGGTGTACACCTCCAAGCTGGTTGCCACTGCTTGTACGATGAAGATAAAGATAAAGAAACGAAGTCAAAACATCGTCTGACTTGTTCGCGAAGCACACAACACGAATGCAAAGTCATGCACAATAGCGCATGTGAAAAAGAATCTCGAAACGCAGTCTTCGCAAAATAATAGTGACGTACGAAACCAGTCATAGACAGGCTATGACTTCACCATCCCCATCCTCGCCACAAGACCCACAAAGACGCCGGAAGATGAAGATGATTGGCTGGTCCCCTACTAGTTTCAGTCGCCGCCAGCTACGGCCTCATCATGGGGAGTTCGAGATTCTTGGTGACGTTTTAGCTGTTCTATAAGTACTACTCGTCACTCCGTGTCGTACTCATGGTAAATAATTTCGATATGACCCTGGACACAGGGGCTTCAGTTTCTTTTTCTGTGTAACATAGATACGTTTATTTCGGATGACGGGAGGACATGCGATCGGATTCGACGTCCGGATGAACTGGCGGATGTGTGCACGGACCGACGTCTTAGCAGATGCATTGTTGAAAGGAAGGAAGTGCTACGAGACAGATGGTTGGAAAGATGAATGTGGTACAATATGGATGTACTAAGCAAGCACGTGTGATTGGATGTGACGAAAGTTGAAGGAGGCCATACATGGGTTGTATAGACTGACCTCAAGCAAAGTTCACGTACGTTCACGTCTCCTTCACAAAGCAAGCTAAGAATCGACCCATAACGTTTTTGTTTTTTCTCCTAAAAAGATATACATATATATCGTCAAATAGAATATAGGGTTGCCAGGCCGAACGTACAGAGGCCCCTACGTTGACCCCCAAACGTTCGGGCGTTCGGGTCCCCGTACGGGGCCCGAACTTGAAGGGGTTTGGACCCCGCAAAACAATTTTTTGACACCTAAGTATTATTTTTCTTCTCTGAAAAACTTTGTGTGATTTCTTTGTGATATAAGGTATCTCCTTCTGAATTTTAAAGCCATTCTGTTCAGCCAAACAAATATGAAAAATCCTCAAAGGTGGTGGTGTCAAAACTTGCTTGCCCACTCACTAATTTGTTTTTGTTTTTTTTTCACTTTATGTCTTTCCTTTATTTCGGAGAATGAAAAAAAAAATTATTTTTTTAAACTTTATTTGTAAATTCTCTATTACGTAAGATACACATATATAAATTTTCATGGCTTTTGTCACAACAAAAAAAAATAAAAATCACCAAAGATGGCGGTGTCGAAAACGTGCTCGCCCACTCCTTGATTTCATTTTCGTTTTATTTTTCTATTTTTATTATTATTATTTATTTTTAGTATTTGATTTTTATTTCAAATTGGTAAAAAATTTGAATGTAACATTGAGGCAAATGTTATTTAGTTTATTCTTATGTATAACATATATTTTTCTAAGATGTTTTGGAATTCTTTTTTTTTTTTTTTCCTTTTCGGGTCCACGTTCGGCCGAATGGCCGAACACGTCGACAGGGGGTGACGAACGTTCGGGCGTTCGGGTTCGACGTTCGGCTCGTCCCGAACGACGGCAACCTATATATATATATATATCACCTATATATATATATATCCCCTTCACCTATAAATATATATATCACCTATATATATATATCGTCACATATATATAGATATATATCATCACATATATATATATATATATATATATATATATATATATCGTCACATATCTATATATATATATATATATATATATATATCGTCACATATCTATATATCGTCACATATATTTGTAAATTCTCTATTACGTAAGATACACTTATATAAATTTTCATCGCATTTGTCACAACCATATTATATATATATATATAGGTTACCGTTGTTCGGGATGGGCCGAACGCCCGAACCTGAACGGCCGAACGTATGGGGCCCCTTGGGGATGCGTTCGGCCGTTAGGGCCGAATGCGGACCCAAAAAAAAAAAAAAAAAAAAAAAAAATCATCAAAAACATATGAAAAAAAGATATGTTATGGAAAAAAATAATTTAAACAAGATTTGCCTGAGCCTTATATCCAAATTCCTTACCAAATCTCAAATAAAAATAAAATACGAAAAATAAATACTGATAATAAAAATAAATAAAAATAAAAAGAGAATTAAATTTAGTGAGCTCGCGAGCATGTTTTCGACACCACCATCTTTGGCGATTTTTCATTTTGTTTTAGCAAAGCTAAATGCCCTGAAATTTTACAGATGTGTACTTCACATAATACAAAACCCACTACAAAAGTTTCAAAAAATAATAAAATCGTTTGGACCTCGATCTAAAGTGAAAACAAAAAGTAAAAAGTGAAAAAATACGTGGTCGAGCACGTTTTGACACCGCCATCTTTGGCGATTTTTAATTCTTATTTGGATAAGGCAAATGACTTGCAAATTTACAGGCATGTACCTCACATCATAGAGAACTCACAAAAAACAATTCAGAAAAAATAATTATTTTTAGGCCCCGAAAACGGCCGAACGCTGTCAGGTTCGGACCCCGTACGGGACCACGAACGCCCGTACGTAAGGAGGTCTGCCCGGGGACCTCCGTACGTACGGGCTGCTGACCCTGTATACGTACGGGCTGGTAACCTCCGTTCGGGACGGGCCGAACACTCGAACGACCACTCACTATATATATAGGTCCGAAAGCCCGAACGACCCACGGGAGGTACCGCCGTTCGGGACGGGCCGAATGCCCGAACGACCCAAAAAAAATAAAAATAAAAAAAAATCCAGCCGCAGGTTCCCCTACGGCTACCTTGTTACGACTTCACCTCAGTCACTAGGAAGAAGAATCCGGAATCAATATACGATATCTGAATTTCTTTGTTTAGCTCTCATCCGAACATACTGAATTCCAAAAAATCTGAAAAAAATATATGTTATACAGAAGAATAAACCTACGTAGCACCGTGTTCGCGTTTGGAGGCAAACGCGAACAAGCGCCCAAAACCCTCCTAACGCGAACATAAAAATTATAAAAAAAAAAAAAAAAACAGTTCTCAGGAAATCTGGAAAAAAAATATATGTTATGTAAAATAAAAATACAAGCAACGTTTGCCTTACAGTCATGTTCAAATTCGTAGCCAATCATGAGTTAAAATAAAAAACCAAATTTTTTATTTTTATTTTTTTTATATTTTTTTTACCAAAAGAAATTATGTTCGTCTGAACATGTTCGCGCGAACATGAAGGGGCGCGAACACGTTCGCCGTGCTACGCAAGAATAAACTAAACAACATTTGCCTCAACGTTACATCCAAATCCTTTACCAAATTTGAAATAAAAATTAAATACGAAAAATAAATAGCAATAATAATAAAAATTAAAAAAAATAAAACAAGAATGAAATTATTGAGTGGGGGAGCACGTTTTGGACACTATCTTTGGTGATTTTTTTTTTTTTTAATGTGATAAATGCCATAAAAAATTGTATATGTGTATCCTGTGTAGCACACCGAACAAGTTCGGAGCTTTTCGGAACGTCCGAACATGTTCAGGTGTTCGGCCGAACGTCACCCGAACGTGTTTGGCCGAACATATTCAAAAAAAAAAAAAAAAAAAAAGAACTTTGTTGTTTTGATTTTTGATTTTTAACTCGAGTTTGGTTACGAATTTGACCATATCTCCAAGGCAAAAGTTGTTTGTATTATTATTTTACATAACATATATGTTTTTCAGATTTTTTATAGAACTTTTTTTTTTATATAAATATTTTTATGTTCGCGTTCGGCGAGTCTCGGCGCTCGTTCGCATTCGGTCCCGAACGTTCGGGTTCGGTCACCGAACGTTTGGCTAAATAGAAAGTATGGCCATGGAATTCTGATTTGCATTCATTATCACCAAGCAGTCTGGAATATCGTTTGTAACAATTCCTAGAGCCGGGTCCCCGACCGAAGGCGCCGAAGGCGTCGCTTGAGTCTCTATATAGATATGCCAAAGGCGACCGTATCTATAAACTGAGTTAACTCAATGATACTACTTCGCTGCCTAACCTCTGCGCCCCTGTCCTTATCTGAAGACGTTGATATCGAAGAGATCTTGTGGCACCCACCACTACGTGGGCACCTAAGAGTAAATACTGGCAGTGGTTACGAGGGAGATACTTTACATCAAAAAGAACTGACAGAAATAGTTTTAGAAAAAAAAATAAAATTGAGTGCCAAAATAATTTTCGCGGGGTCCGAACCCCTTCAGGTTCGGACCCCGTACGGGGACCCGAACGCCTGAACGTTCGGGGGTCAGCTTAGGGGCCTCCGTACGTTCGGCCTGGCAACCCTGTGTATATATCTCTGCCTACGGTTTACCGGGCAGTTCTACTTGACGATATATATATATATATAGTCACAAACAGAACTGCCCGTTAAAACCGAAGGCAGAGAGAGAGAAGAGGACAACAAACGATATATATATATATATATATATATATAGGGTTACATGACTGAACGTTCGGGGGCCCCCCCGCTGGCCCCTGAACGTTCGGGCGTTCGGGGTCCTGTTCGGAGGCCGAACACCTCCAAGTTCGGCCCCCGTCAAAAACATTTTCGGGGCCTAAAAATAAGTTTTGTTTTCTGAATTGTTTTTTGTGAGTTCTCTATGATGTAACCTACACACCTATAAATTTTGAAGCTATTCTACTAAGCCAAAAAAACATTAAAAATCGTCAAAGATGGGGGTGTCAAAACGTGCTCGCTCACTCACTATTTTGTTTTTTTCACTTTTAATGTTTTGTTTTCACTTTATTTCGGGCCTAAACAATTTTATTAGTTTTTGAAAAAATTTTAATCAGTTATTGATTATGTAAGGTACATATCTGTAAATTTTCAGGGCATTTGTCAATGCCAAAAAATAATTAAAAATCAGCAAAGATGGCGGTGTCGAAAAGGTGCTGGCACACTAACTCATTTTCATTCTCCTTTTAT